GAGTGAGTGTGTGTGTGAGTGAGTGAGTGAGTGTGTGTGTGTGTGTGAGTGAGTGAGTGTCTCTCAGTAGTACAGCATTGTGTTAGCAGCGCAAAAGGTCATGGGTTCGATCCCCAGGGAATACACATACTGGAATAAACTGTATAGCCTGAATGCACTGTATGTCGCTTTGGATAAAAGCATCTGCTAAATGCATAAATTATTATACAAAAGAGCCATGACAAAACAAGTCTGTATGTACATTCAAAACTTTATTTATGGAATACAGTGTAGAAAGCGCAGTTTATTTCCAGTCAAAGCAAATGATACACAGAAAAATGCCACTGAAAGAACCTCATCACCATCATCTTAATCTAACCACCTCAGATCTGATCAAACCACAGCAACACACGCTGAGAATTACCCAGGATTCCTCACGGATCTGAAAACATGAGGGAGATCCTGTAAACGATTGGTCACACAATAATAACCATCAGTTTATTCTCATTATCATTCATGAGACGCTTTCTAAAACTGACTACAACAAAAACACGTGTGCGAGTGACATACAGAAACACTACAGGAGACAGACGAGATGCTCAGTGCATCTCCTCCAGCTCATATTTCACCTCAAAATCAAAAGAAAAAAAATTGAAATAATAATAATATTTTGCATGAAGATTTTTTTTTTTGCATTGCCACATTATTTGCATGTAAATTAAGCACATTTAACCACAAATCTGCATTACTGTAATGCAGCAATGAATGGAAATTATAAAAAAAAAAATTATAACTCGGCATTCATTAATAACATTCAATACAATCATGATAAATACTTACAACTGCACAATTTAAATAAATTTTCCTGCATTTACAGTAATGGCAAAAAATAATAATGCAATGCAAAATCTTTTTCTTTTGATTTTGCAGCGAGACAAAGCTGTTTTTTCTTCTTCTCTCAGATCACCGCATCAGTTTCTGCAGCTCCGCACTGAAAACTGAGACTGCTGCGTAACACGAGAGATGAAGAGACAGACGAAGAGTGATCTAAGAACAACAAACTGACTGGATAGAAACACACAAACAGTCCCACCCCCGAAAACACGCTTAAAAATCACATTCAACCACGAGTCCAAAGGAGAATCAAATGAAAGATAAGGAAGAAGTAAATAAATCTCTGAAATGCATAGGACGAAAAAAACATTAAAGACAGTAAATGTACATCGACAGGATCTCAGCTGGATTTAAAAAACAACCAGATCTTGAAATCAAAGCATTTAAATCAGTTTAAGTTCTATTAGAAGCAAATTGAGTCATTTTTTGTGCAACTCAAATCACATTTTCACAAGTTACTGTTTAATCCTGCTAAAACGCCTCTACGTGAGAAAACACCGAGATCCAAATAGCAGAAGAGTTTCCTCGTCATTTTTTCTATCATGCACTACGTAGTTACAACTAGCCTTTCTTCTTTTGCATTACTTAAATATCGACAACTAAAAAAAATTGTTTCTTTTTAAAATTATCACTTTTTAAAATTATCACCAGAAACGATCAAACGTTTTGAAGATCTCATTCAGAAGGACATTGATTACCAGAATAATCTCTGACGGGTTTAATGCGTCACCAAACACAGCGCAGCTGCAGTCAGTGTGCGATGAAGAGGAGGAAGAATCAGACAATCATCCTCAGATATCCCAGTGTTTCACTTGGTTAGTAGTGCGAGAGCAGACGGTGCAGCGACACAAAACCCAACTCGATACGGTCAGTCAACAGATCAGATTCAGAAAGTTTAGGGAATGATGAGATCAAACTGATTTCATTAGATACAAAAAATCTGGAGTGAATTCAGAACTGTGCATTGCATTTGATGTGGATCACAGAATTCTCAAACTTTGCGTTCAATTTAAACTGAACTCGAAACTGATCTTAACAACATAAACCAGTCACAGTTAATCAAATCTGGAGTGAAACTTGGTTTGAAACTAAAACTGAACTTGAAACTGACCCCGACAGCATTAATCTGATCATCTTCATGTTTGTCCGGCAGACACCTGGAGTTAAAATCTAGAACTGTGCATTGAATTTGATTTGCAATCACATTTAAAACTGAATTTTCAAAGTGAATTTGAATTATGTGTTCAATGTAAACTTGACACTGACCCGAAAAGCATTAATCTCATCATGTTCATGTTGGTCCAGACAGTTGCATGGCATAGTTGAAAACAGGAGTGAATTTAAAACTACATTTGAATTATGCACTCAATCTGATTTGTGATGAACTCTGAAAAAAAAAATCTGAACTCATGTTTGTCCAGCCAATGAGAAGTCATAGTTCTGGAGTGAATTCACAACTGTGGATTGAATTTGATGTGAATCAAATTAAAAATATATATTTTCAAACTTCATATGTTTAATTTAAACTGAACTAAATTGGCCCTTGATCAGATTTTGATTTAGGTGGTTAATTTAGGAGAATCTGAATTTTAATTTGTGAATTGAACTGAATTTGATTTATGCATTAAATTCGATTCAATTTTGTTTAATTCAATTTGTGATTTGAATTGAATTCAAATTATGCAATCAATTTGATTTGTGATTTGAAATTATGAATTCAGTTCTACAGTATGAGTGATTTGAATTTGAATACTTGAAACGGACCCCATCTGATAAAGCTGATGTTCGTCCAGCCAACAGAATTTTATAGTTGAAAATCTGGAGTGAATTCAGAACCGTGCATTGAATTTGATGTGAATCAAATTCATATGTTCAATTTAAACTGAATTGAACTTGAAACTGACCCCAACAGCATTAAAGTCATGTTCATGCTCGTCCAGCCCAGTTTTACAATCTGCAGTGAATTTAAAACTAAATCCGAATTATATGTTCAATCTGAATTGTGCATTCAGATTGAAACAGCATCTTCAATAACTTGAAACTGACCGAGTTCATATTCGTCCAGCCAATGGGAAGTCATGTTTGATTGACAGTCATGTGAAGTGGCCAATAGGAAGCGAGATGTTAATGAGCGGTGAGGTCGGGCTGGTGTCTCCTGCACCGTCTGCAGAGGTGAGGAGGAAGAGGAGGAGAAACAGGGAGGAAGAGGAGCCTCACACCATCAGTTGTGCATTAGTTCGAAGAACTTGTAGGTGGGGTTTTCATAGCCGTTCTGCTGCATCTTAGACAGGTGACGTTCCTCCGGGGTCACAGCAGCATCCACCTGAGAGACAAATGATTCGGACTTCAAATGAATCACTATTTTTACTCATTTGATTCATATGCATCATGTCACGGGATGAATCAACGAACACACATGTGTGCACCGACTGACCTCAATGATTCCGTGGTGGATGGATGTGTACTGCTTCTTCCTCAGCATCACCAGGGTGATGACGATGATGGTTGCTATGACAACACCTCCGACCATCAGGCCAATAATAGCTCCCTTATTGGAGCTCACGTCCTCGGCGAAGAAAACCTGAACACCAGAAACAAAAGACAAACATGAGATTACAGTCACACGGGCTGAACTCTCATCAGAGACGTGCTGCGTCATAAAATGCTAAAAATGCAGGACGACTGACTGTGAAATGAAGCCTATTAGAATGCAGTTATATGAGCCTAAAATTCAAGATACGAGGCAAAAATTTACATATTTAGATCATATGATACAGTTCAGCAATATCACACCAGCAAGAGTGCTGCTTTCCCCAACATCTGCACCATTGCTAATGTGATACTGATTTTATACAACTGTTCAAAAGTTCATATTAAGCAATATTGTCAGAATTGTCAAAATTTTTTCCAATCAAAGTCACAGCTGAACTGTTGAGTCTCTGATCGACACACAGCAGTCATCTGTTACTGAATGAATCCACATTTTTAAATGAATCGAGTGAGTCAATGATTCAGTGACTCATTCATGAAGACAGTCACTTGCTTCGTTTCTGAATGAATCAGCTATTTTAAAAATGGAGTGAGTCAATGATTCAGTGATTCATTCATTCACATGCTTTGTTTAGGAATGAATCAGCAGTTTGAACAAATCGAGTGAGTCAATGATTCAGTGATTCATTCATTCACTTGCTTCGTTTAGGAATGAATCAGCAGTTTGAACTAATCGAGTGAGTCAATGATTCAGTGATTCATTCATTCACTTGCTTTGTTTAGGAATGAATCAGCAGTTTGAACAAATCAAGTGAGTCAATGATTCAGTGATTAATTCATTCACTTGCTTTGTTTAGGAATGAATCAGCTGTTTGAACAAATGGAGTGAGTCAATGATTCAGTGATTCATTCATAAAGACAGTCACTTGCTTCATTTCTGAATGAATCAGCTGTTTTAAAAATGGAGTGAGTCTATGATTCAGTGATTCATTCATTCACTTGCTTAATTTCTGAATGAATCAGCTGTTTTAAAAATGGAGTGAGTCTATGATTCAGTGATTCATTCATTCACTTGCTTCATTTCTGAATGAATCAGCTGTCTGAACAAATCGGTTGCGTGAATAATTCAATGACTCGCTCATTAATACAGTGAGTTGCTGCCACCTACTGGTGGCTATAGTTTCATATTGATCTTTTAATTTTTTTAACCATTTCATATTCATTTTTTTGATAGCCTTAAAAGTTTTTATAATAAAGTCTATGATCAATCAAAACATTTCTTTTGTTTTGTTTTGATTAGGTATTATGGTTGACATATTTCAGCCCTAATATGTAAATGTACCAGTTTCTGGTGGTAAACTTCACTGTGTCTCTCTTCAGCTTCCATCCGCAGCTCAGGAACATCGTCAGGCTTCAGTCCAGACACTGAACGACAAACACAGAAACGATATTAAATACTGGAAATACAAGTGTTTTGGTTTTGAAACGTTTTCAACTCATGCAGCTGGAATTGACCGTTTACATGCACTTCTGTTTCAGCTCTACATTCTGAATATGATTTCTACATCAGCCCATCTACACATGCATGCTTTTGCTGGGGTGATTATTAGATTTATTACTACTTTACACAAACTTTT